ATTCCTGGCAGAGAGAAGACAAATGCAGAGGCTCAGAGACAAGATCCGAGTCCAGGAAGCCAGTGCGGCTGGAGCGGAGAGAGCGGAAGGGGAAGAGAGGTGGGATCAGGGAGGCCCGTGGGCTTTTCTCAGAAGGTTGGTGGGATGCCGACGAGCCCACGAAGGAGGCGAGAAGGTACGGACGATGAGGTAGGAGAAAAAGCAGGACAGGCCAGTTGCGGGTAGCGTCCCTGGCACAGTGCCCCTCACGTAGTAGGAGCTGGGTGACTGGGACATGATTCAGGGGCCTGAGCCAGTTGCTCCCAGGAAGGTGCCCACAAGACCTGCCATCTTGCATCCAGATCTCGGCCTCCCAACCCTTTCTACTGATCCCCTACTTTGCTCAGGCACCAGCAGAGGAAGACAGTGGTCCAAGCCATAGCCTGACGCAGACTTTCCTTCCACAGTGGCTGCCCCACCCCAGAAGTGGCCAGGACCAGCCAGCCCCAAGAGGGAACTGAAACTGTCCTCCACCACAAACCCCTGGCCCAGGCCACAGGCAGGGAGGGATATAGGGTTGGGGAAGTGATAGGAGAGGCCAGAGTCCCCCAATTCCAAGGGCCCCCCTCTCTGGGTATATGTGGGAGAACCGGGACCTGTGCACCACCAGCCTGCGGCCTAGGGCCTGTGTATGAGCGGATTTTGCTGAAGGCGTGCAGACCAGGAAGGTCCTGCCAACTCATTCTGTAGCGCCCAGCAGAGGGTTTGCGAGCTCTGCCTTAAAAGATTGCATTGCCGACTCCTCTCCTCATCCCTTCTATTATTTAGGGGGCCACTCGTCCCCTGTCCCCAAACCCTCTTCTCTCTTCTGCTGCAGACCACTGAATTCAGGAATATTTCCTCCCAAGGAGCAATTTAAGCCTCCTCCGAGTTTCACTTGCTCTTTATTAATAATGTATTTATTCATACATCTTTATTAAGATGGATTGCACGTCAGCCCAGGGCCAAGTTCCTTTTACGCAGATCCTTATATCAAATCTTCAAACCAAGGCTCAGAGAGGGTGAGTAACGTGTCCATGGTCACACAGGAAGGGGCAGAGCTGAGGCTACAACCCAGAAAGCCAGAATGGCCATCTTTGGTATGGATATTGAGTGGGATATGCTTTTCCTCCCGCTATTTCAGGT